GCAGCCATCACCTGTGGGCTTGCTCTACCCTGGTGGTCCCAGATGCTCGTTGCTTTAAAAGAAACAAATCCACCCCAAATAAATACGAGCCCAACAGAACACTTATTGCATGCACTAAGTGTTTTCGTTCAGGCAATAATCGGTGGCACTAAAATCACTCTTAATAAAACTTATTCACCGCAAATCCACACGGAGCACCTCTAAAAAGACCTACTTCCCCTAAGGTAAGAGCCCAGCTCTGGGATTGCACATTGCCCGACTAATATTGCACCAGCCCAGTAGAAATAAAAACAAACCCGGCATAAAAAACTGTTTTAAAAGGTAACCCTACTAAAACCAAAAACACAACAAAAAGGAGGAGGAAAAAACAGTGACAAATTCACATGTGCAGCCTGCCCTCCAGCAGACAACTGTATTTGCTGCACACCTGTCTTATCTTGGCTTATCTTCTAAAATCACTACTCGAACCTCTGCTGTAGAGGTTTAAAACAACTGTTTGTGTAGAAGACAATTAAAACTTCTCAGGCTCTTCACCTACTCACACAACCATTGTTTACAGCTGCTTGTCAGTGCAAATGAAGAGCACCTGCTGCTACTTCCTCTTTTATACCCTCCATCCTCCCTGGGTCCTAAAGCCTTCCCCATTACATATAGACCACCTTCAGAGTTTTTCCTTCTCTCCCCCCTTTTCGCTTATCATGTCTGTACGTCACTCTGTATTTAATTATTAGTTACTTTTCATCTCTGGCTCTCTTGCAGAGCAAGTCCTTTGTCCTGTCTCCCTCCCCTGATCCCCAAGTGGTCACAGCCTTCCTGAGGTCTGCTCAAAGTTTTTTCCTGTTAAAGGAAGTTTTTCCCACAAATGTTGCCAAGAGCTTGTTCATATAGAGTAGCCTGCTTGTTGGTGTTTTCTCTGTATTAGTGTAGGACTTTTACCTTAACATTTAAAGTGCTTTGAGGCGACTGTTGTTATGATTTGGCACTATGTAAATAAAACTGATTTGAACTGAACTGAAATGAACAATAAATACAAACCTGGCAAAAAAGCATTTCTTTAATACACTTTGTATAAAATATTAGCCCGTTTCTTTGATCTGTTTCATATAGATAAACAAAACATTATCACCAAAGGGTGCTCTAAATATCCAACACTCTAAGCTAAGCTAAGCTCCTCTTTATTGATGATCATCTGTAAAATTGAGAGTTTGACCACAGTGTCCAATGTGGTCAAAAGAACAATACTGCCATAAACTTGCCAAGTTATTGCTACCACTGTGAGCCCAGGACACACACACAAAAGAGATTCTTAATGTTCTGCATCACTTCACTCAGCACTTGGCCTTCATGCATCTTTAAACTCCACCCCACACACACACACAC